GCAACCCAGGCATGTGCCCTTAACCGGAATTGAACCTAGACCCTTCAGTCCTGGTTGATGCTCTATCCACTGAGCCAAACCAGCTAAGGCCAAACAGATTCACTTTTAATGTTTGGAAACGATGTCCTTATCAAGCTAAACTGCACTGGGTACCGCTTCTCAGGGGGAAGCTCACAGACAGGCAGAGGGGACCCCTGGGAGGATGACATGCCCCTGCTGTACCGTCCAGGCTGACATAAGAAACACGACATGTCCCCTTTACCAATACGCTCACTATCTCTATTCAGTCTACTGACGATTCATGGGGTCTATGCACCTTTTTAGGAAGCAAACCCTGGAGAAGAAAGGCCACGCGACATGTCCCTTTTACCAATATGCTCACTATCTCTATTCAAAGTCTACTGACGATTCATGGGGTCTATGTACCTTTTTAGGAAGCAAACCCTGGAGAAGAAAGGCCACAGAAGGACCAGCTGTGGAGGGCTTCCCATTGCCCTTCAGGAAAAGGCACCTCATCCAGACTCACTTCTCAGTAAGTTGAGGGGGCTGGGGCTGTGGGTGCTCAGTCTTCAAGGTCCTTCCCTGTGGGGTCTGCTCATGGTGGGCACCAGCTTGCCATTGGCCACTCCAAATAGCACTGCCTAGGCTGCGGTGTTGCATGTTTTTTTTTAATGTAAAGAATTAAAAATAAATGATTTAAAAGATGTAGTCAGGTAGGTGAACGTGCCCACACCTATTTCTGGCCAACACCTCAGGACTGCATGGACTGGGTCCCTGGGTAGCCTCAGGGGTGTGTCACCCCATCCAGCACGACCCACGTGTACACCTATAAGTTTCCCGCTGCGCAAGATCTGCTGCCCACTTGTCCATGCACATGTCAGAGAAGCACAGACAGTCAGAGCTGGGAGGAGACCCAGAGAGCACAGGGCATGGAATTCAGTGGTTTTTAGTCCTAGGAGCCTTCTTCAATGCGAATGGAAGCAGAACATCCTCTGGCAGCTTTGCCCTGGGTGGGGAAGAGGCGGGGCCGGGACTGCCTGCTCAGGCAGCTCCTGAGTGTGACAATCACCCCCAAGCCTCATCTACCCCATTTACACATGACGAACCGGAGCCAGAGAGCGAACAAGGATTATGCTCAGAGAGCTTACCTTCATACAGCCTGTTAGCCAAAAGCCGTTTCCCAACTCACTGTTCTGTCACATTTAGTTCTATTTGTTCTCTGTAGATGATATATTTTGTGATAATAAATATAGGTTTCATTGAACACTGATATACCAGATGCTGTAACAGAGTAGAGCTTTTCGAAGTGTGGCCGAAGGCCTCTGGGAGCCCCTGAGACCCTTGCCGGGACCATGAGGTCCTCTCCTTTCTAACTATACTGTATATGGCTGCAAGGCCAATATTGCAACAGACTGAATGGAGATGCAGCTATGGAACCCTGCTGTCTTATATTAACCCAGATATTCAAGATACTTGCCAAGACATAAAGCATGCCACTCTTCTAATTTCTATTTTCAAAAAGTTAGCTTTTGTTAAAAAGATGTTCTGTTAATATGAAATGGATTATTGTCATTTTAAATGATACCATAAGTAAAATATTTTTTAGATACTTCAGTTAAAAATAACTTTTTTAAGCCTCGGACTACCCATTCAGTCTTGGAAAGATCTGAGTGATTGAAGCAAAAATGATTTTAAGTTTATCTATAGATATTTCTCTACCCACCCATCTTCAGCTGACTGACTGTTGAGGACAGCTCTTCTCCAGTGCAGGGGGACATTCCACCACAGGTACAGAAAATGGTGTATATCATGGTAGACGGCAGGACAAACCACCTCAGCAGAAGTTCTCTAGGGCCCTCAATTTTATGTGTGTAGAAGGGTTATGAAATCAAAAGTTTGAGAACTGTTGACATAGTATATATAATTTAACTGTACAACACCCATGTAAAGTAGGAATTATCTTTAGGGATAAGGAAATGGTGGCTCAGAAAAATTAAGAGACTTGCCAGGTCAAAGAGGTGGTGTATTGTTACCTACTGCTGGGTAACAGGGGACCCCAAAAGTTAATGACTCAGAACAGCCAACACTTACTAGCGCGTTTCTGTGGGTCAGGGATTTGAGAGCAGCTTACCTGGGTAGTTCGGGCTCAGCGTCTCTCACCAGGCTGCAGTTAAGGTGCTGGCCAGCACTGATGTCATCTGAAGGCTTGACCGGGGCTGAGAATCTGCTGCCAAGATGGTCACTCATAGAGCCATTGGTTGCTAGAGTGTTACTAAGACATGGTGCCAGCTTCCCCAGAGCAAGGGATCCACGAGAAAGAACAAGACTGGAAATGTCAATATCCTTTATGACCTGATTTTGGAAGTTATTTACCATCACTACTACTTTATTCTCTCTGTTAGAAGCGAGTCACTAATCCAGCCCACCTCTTGAACAACATGTCAAAGAGTATGTGGAAAACAAAAGAATATGTGGAGCCCTAGCTGGTTTGGCTCAGTGGATAGAGCATCGGCCTGTGAACTGGGGGGTCCCAGATTCCATTCCGGTCAAGACCACATGTCTGGGTTCCTGGTTTAATCCCCAGTGGGGGGCGTGCAGGAGGCGGCCAATCAACATTCCGGTCAAGACCACATGTCTGTGTTCCTGGCTTAATCCCCAGTGGGGGGCGTGCAGGAGGTGGCCAATCAATGATTTTCTCTCTCATCATTGATGTTTCTATCTCTACCCCTCCCTTTCTCTCTGAAATAAAAATATATTTTTAAAAAAGACTAACTTTTCTTCCTATATTCTTCAAAGTAACCCAACCCTGTTACTCTTTTTCATAAAACATTGCGCGTGCGGGCGCGCGCGCACACACACACACACACACACACACAGCATAAAACATTGCGTGCGTGCGCGCGCGCGCGCACACACACATGAAGAGTATGTGGACATATGTCGACCCATCCAGCGAAGGGGCAGAGGCAGGCCTCAATTTCAGGCCTGTCTGAATCTCTCACTCTAACTGTGCAACACAGCCTTCCCAGGGTAAGTCCCTGTCCTCTGTTTGTAATTTCCTTGGGTTCAGGATCAAGAAGGCACTCAATAACTATGCACTGAGTGAGGTTCGGGGAAGAAAAGAGTCCTTTCTAGAGCTCCTCCCATTTGTGACTTACACTTTGAAAGACCAAGTCCCCGACAAGTGAACTCATGGATGCAGTGGCTGCTAGCACTGGCAGAGCTGTGTCCCGGCCTCTTCTCTCCTGGAGCTGAGATGCGGCTTGGACACCCGAGCCTGCCGTGCTCACCTGCCTGGCCCAGGCTCCCACCCCGTGGCATCCCCTGGAGCATCCCACTGCCAAGCAGGTTCTAGACCTGCACCAGACACACGCTCTCCACCACTGGCCTCGGGTGGCACTGGCGAGGGCACAGCTGATTCAAGTTCCTACCTGAGTTTATGAACTGATGTGGGGAAAACCATCTTTCCAACCACCTGGGTGACAAAACACAAGCTCCTGGCCACAGCAGGGGCTGAGAAGAGAATGTGGATCTACTGGGACAAATCTGGAAAAATGACTCTAAATGCAAGATCATCTGATAACTCAGAGGGCCAAATTCTCACAGGCCCACCTGTTCCGCAGGCCTTTACCAAGCACCCGCGAGTGCTAGGCAAATGGAGGCTCTCTTATCAGAACACCTCTCCGCTGTCAGGAAGGGACCCTGAATGTCACTCCTGGGCTGGCAACTCCCCTTGGTAACCTCGGGGAAGTTAAGTACTGTGGTGTCTAGTGCAGACCTCGCCCAGTTAGAGCTCTGCTCGCCACACCACACTGTATGACTACGACCAAGACTCACACTTCCTTGGTGTAACGGGTTTCTTCAGGTCCCAGCACTGGGCTGCAGAGCAACACCTGCGAGACCTGTGGCACTAGGACTCCCAACTGCCCCAGAGGCGGCCGGAAAGAACCACTTAAAGGTCAGGGCGACCAGGGAGCCTCCAAAGGGGTCAGAAGTGGGGACAGCTGTTGTTCCCAGGCAATGAGTCTTATTTTTAATCTTTCCTGTTTAGAATTTCATTACAGATACGACACCCCGGGACAGAATTACTTAAATCATAGCGAAGGAAGAGCCTTCGTGCAGTTCCGCTTTTTAAATGAAAATAAGAATTCTCCACCTTGTAAGTACACCTCCTCTGTGATCCCATCTTTGTGAACAACCCAGTCTCCCGCCCAGGCCTGGGAGACCCACACTGCTCCTTCCTCTCCTGTCTGCTACTCCTGAGGGGGAGTGAAGCCTCGATCCTAGAGACCAGTGGGTAAGACAGGAGGCCTGGAAGGAGAAAGAGGGGAAGGTAGAGGACGGAGGAGTGACGTTAATACACGTATCTTCTGTTTAGTCTCTAATTTCTAGAATTGTCCTAGTGACTTAATTTCTGACTCTTAGAACCCTAAGTCGGAGGGGACTTCAAGAATCCAAGTGGGTCAACCTCTTGAGAGACATTACCCCTCCACCTTCAGATGAAGTCATTGAGCCCAGAAAAGTTAGACCACATGCCCAGGTCGCACGGCTAGCGCCCAGGGAACCTAGACTCCTGGTCTCTTGTCTGCTAATAATTCCTTTTAAAAATGGAATTTCTTTCCTGAATTCTCTGACTTCAGAATACTTGATACAAAGTTCTTTGTTTCCTATGTTCCCCAATTTTCTTATTTATTAATTTTTTATCAAATGTTTCATTCACATAGAGAAGTTCAGAAAATGATACCCACATATCCACGATTTGGGGATCGTTTCTGATGCTCTGAATTTAATCAGAACCAACATTTTCCAGCTTATTCAAAACCAAACTGGATCTGTTCCCAGAGAGCAAATTCAAAATCCTCTCAAGATGAGCGTGAGCCCAAACCAGGAAAGTAAGTATCACTCTCTCATTAGTAATGATGACAAGAATGGCTACCCATTGGTTGGGTGCATACTATGTGCTTAATGCATTAAATTACCTCCCCAAGATCATCGAGATTCTAGATCCTAAGTAGGAGAGCCGGATTCAAACTGAAGTCTGGCTACGACGTCAGTCTTTCATGTGTTCACTCACCACGTTATCTGCGTGTCCACAGCAGGCGCTATGCTAGCTGCTGAACACAGTGACAGAGTGGGCTCTGTCCCTGCCCTCAGGGAGCTCACTTTTTGGGAAGAGGAGGCTGTGTGTGTGAGTGCCAAGAAGAGGTCACTCAAAGTGCTATTATCTAATATGGAGGTTCAGGGAAGCTCAACTCCAAAGGTTAAATATGAATGAGCTAGCAAGGGAAACAGGGGGAACAGAGACCCTTCCAGTCTACGTAGGCTTCCGATGTGGGAAGGCCCTGATGTGGGAAGCTCGGCTGCGGTTATCCACCAAGGCACTGTGACAGTGGCAACACGGAGGGTGCCGGCTTCCACCAGCACACAGGCGCCCTGCACCCCAGAGCTGAGGGGGGCGCTTCACACGAGTATCCCTGTGCTTTTGCCTTCCAGAAAAAAACTTAAGGCTCCCATGACCTCCACTTCAGACCTGGCTACATCCTCCCCCCATTTCCACTCTGGCAGGGTCTCTGGAAGCAAATCCTTAAGCGACGTTAGCAGTGACGAAGAAACGAAATCTGAGGTGAGGACTCAGAAAAACATTCTAGAATCCTTGCAGCTTGTAAGTTTGGTCTTGCTGACCACAAAATTGATGGCTTCTAAATTATTACAGTATGGAGCACCCAAAATGCTCTGCTAACAACAGTGTGTGCTCAGCACTAGCCTAAAGACACAGGGCCTGAGCAGCCACGTGGTGTGTGCTACTCCTAAACTGGTTCCCAGGAAAACTTTGTGGGCAGTGCCTCAGCTATAGGATCCCCTGGCTGCTCACAGGACTGTTTAACCGACAATGGGCTTACAGACGCTAGCCACATATTTTTTTCCAATCAGAAACTCGAATCCCAGGCCACTTCCCAAGGCTTGTGCACGCATGCGTGGTATCCCTGCCCTCTCAGTGGTCATGTCCCCCAGTCCCCTTCAGTGGTCCCAATAACTTTCCTTTTCTCAGATCTCTTTCTTGACAGCAGGGAATGGGCCCAGCAGGTTTCTGACCTCACCCTCTGATTCATGCTCATCAGTCACGTGTCAGTCCTTTTTCTGTCCCTTGCCCTAAAAAATACCTTCCATCTCCGACTGGTTTCCTAGGAAACCAACTCTCAAAAACAGAAACAGACCTGGTGGAAAAAACAGAAACAGACCGGGTGGAAAAAAGAGCACTCCCAATTCCACCTGGCAGTGTGTGATGACAGAACTCAGTTAACAGGAACAGTGGCAAACGTGTATGACTAAAATGTGCGCACTTGTCCTCCGCAGGGTTTAGCCGCGTCTCTGGACCATGCCCTGAGGACAGCAAACATTTTGAAAGAAACAACTGATCAAATGATCAGAACTATTGCAGAAGATCTCGCCAAACTACAGAGATGGAGGAATCGATTGAAATACTAGTTTGATGCAAGGTGACTGGGGATTTGAGAAACAAAGAAAGGCAAAGAAAACTTAATCTTCCCCTCAAATTATTTTACTTATTACACAATTTAGAAGGATAAATTTCTAGAGAAAATGCCAAAACCATAAGAAATGGGGAACACAACGGTACTTAAATGAGAAAAAAGGGACCTCTGATTCTTATACTCAAATCAACAAGTATTTATTTTAAAATAAATCTGTTATTCCTAACACATAATAAAAGAAATTAAAACATACTTTTAGTTATTAGTATGGCAAAAAAAAAAAGTTGGAAAACCCAGTATCAGTGAGGCTGGGGGAGACAGGTACTCTCAGGCACTGATGCTGGAAGTATAAACTGGTGCAAATTCTATCAAATTCGACATGCACTTGACCTCGAGCAGCAATTCCACCACTAGCTGTTTACTTCACAGGTGACTCACCCAACAGGCCATGGTATGTGAGGGAGGATGGCCATGCGGCACAGATGGGAACAGACCCAACTGGAACTAATCTAAACACCCAATGTGGCCATTCATAAACAAAGATGTCAGTCATACAATTAAGACTCTGCAGCCAGTGAAAAGAATGTGGGTTAACCTTCAAGATAGTGTGAGGGGGGAAGCACGATGCCTAATGATGCACAGGTGTGATCTTTCGTGTATGGTCTTCAAAGGGCACACACACCACTGGAAAGCACACAGAAACACCGAGTGGGCCTCTAGGAAGAGGAACTGGGAGTTCTGCGGGGAAGTGGAGGGACTTTACATTGACTTTCTGTAGTTCTTACAAAATTCTCATAAATCATTTGGTTGAAGATCTCTTGAAGCCAGAAATACACAAAAATGACAGTCCTAGCTCTAGGTTCATGAAATTTGGGACAAAAGTGAAGACAATTCATTGTAACGGTGTAGTCAGTGGTTCTTTCCCTCTTTCCCGAGGCCTCCATTCACTCCAAAGTCAAGAAATGGCTTCCCGCTCCCGGGCTGTGCTCAGGGGAAGAGCTGGATCATTCCCACGGAGAGGGTTCTGTGCTGACCACGCAGCTGCTGTTGGTCCAGCTGGAGAAGGGGTTATTTTTAACTCTGGGGCTTGGAAATGAGTTTTGATGCCTTGGGGGGGAGAGAGAGAGCAGAGGCCAGACTCAAGACTCCTCTGACTTTGTGGCCAAGTTCACGTTAGGCTGCGGCACTGTGAGGAAGAGTCAAGACTGTTGGTCGAATTTTAAGAGGAAAAAAATGGGGCTTAAACTGTATACGTGCTCAGGGGCTTCTAGCTTCATCACAGACCTAAACTCATCACAGCTTGAGAACCTGTTTGTGCACCAAGCATCGCCACCCTGTCCCCAAGTTTAAAATCACACAACTCTCTGGCTTAAGGTGTTCTTAAGCGACGCATTGTTTCTTGACCTTTCTGGGGTTCAAACCTCTCTGAGATCTGATGAAACCTGTGGAGCCTCCCTCCCTATGCGTCACTCTCCCATGGAAAAGCAACACGTGAACAGGAACAACTTGGCACCCAGTTTTCACAAGTCCACGGGCACTGAACAAGCCCATGGAACTCCAGGTAGAAAGCAGCACCATCAATGACCTTCCTGACCCCTCGCATTACCCTTTAGAGGAGCTCACTGCTGAAATCATTTTTATTTAAAAACACAACCCACCTCTGCAGTATGTAGCCGTATTCTAGATGTAATTTCTCATCTCCTTGATGACTGAGGGTATTAGCAACAGTCACTGCACCATGACTCATCCGAGGCACAGAAGTAGGGCAACCGCCTTCAGGCTTCTGCGGAAGTGCTACAGGCTCTGATTTACAAAGATAATGTGAGATTTACTGATGCTGTAGCTTTGGCTGTGGCCTCCCTCACGCAACTTCTTTGTGCCAATGCTGATAGACCTCTCTTCTAATCCTGCTGCAGGAATAAGCCAGAAAAACAAGCTTGTTAAGCGACAGTGATTGTATCTCCAAATGCTGAGTCACAGGCTCAGGACTGCTGGGGGCAGGGGTGTTGTAAAGACACTTGGCACCCTCCACAGCATAGAGGCCTCTGTGCTTGCTTCCTGCTTGAGGCACCAGGACCAAGATAGCTGGGTGAGGGGACAGCTTGTAGAATGCTATCACCTCTTTAGAAGTTCTAGCCATTCACTTTAACTACAGAGTACATATATGAAAACGCATCCTTTTACTATTCATTCCAATTCAATCTTATTGTTAATAATTACTTAAAATATACCTAATACATACTAAATATGAATATATATGTATATTTAATACCCAAATGTTTGGTAGTAAAACTCTGCTATAGAAGGTATTTCTTGCTCCTTTGATTTTAAAAGAAATTGGCCTGGCCCTAGCTGGGTTGGCTCAGTGCATCGGCCTGCAGACTGAAGGGTCCTGGGTTTGATTCTACATGCCCAGGTTGCGGGCTCGGCCCCCAGTGGGGGCGTGCGGGAGGCAGCCAATCGATGATTCTTTCTCATCATTGATGTTTTTCTCTCCCTCTCTGAAATCAATAAAAATATATTTAAAAAATAAAAAAAATAAATCGGCCTGCATCCTGATGGGAGTCATGAGGGGTACCAGACACCCACACCACAGCTGAGTTACAGAGGCATCACATCTAACAACATAAACTGCCAGGATCTTGGCCTTCGGGCTTGAATCCAAAAATTTTTGTGTCATGAACTACTGATATTTTTTTTCATTCTTGTGAATATTGCTGAGCAATGTGAATCCACTATACTTCGCAGACCAAGAACACTTCAACAGGAAGCAAAACCATGCTTCAGAGATAGTGAATCAATGTGTTAACTGCAAGAACAAAAAAAGGTTTTTTTCAGGGTCTTGAAATCAGAATCTGTACATGCTAAGTCTAAGGAATTTAGGTGAGACGACCTCTTATGTCTTCAAGTTCAGTGAGAGACTTAGAAAACAAAGGGTCTCTTCAATGTTAAGCCTAAAATATACCTGCAGTGCAGGCCTCACAGGATCTCCCATCAGTACAAAAGGGCAAAGTGATCACTGAGGGGCTAAGTGACCGACTCAACGGGCAGTGTCTGCTGCCATCACACCGGAGTTCCATTCATCACAGGGCAATGTCTTAGTCTAAATCTCTGTGCCACTTACCGTTGAGTCTGCAAAACTTCATTTTCAGCCTTTCATGCCCTGTGGGATGGGATGGAGAGGCATGGGACCTAAAGGCAAGAGCTAAAAGATAGTATCTAGCATACATTCTCACACTAAAATCAATTCCCGATGGATGGATTACCTGCAAAAAATAAAATGAATACATCAAAATGTCCTAGAAGAAACAATGGGAGACTTAATCTTGGGTGCAAAGGGTATTTCTATGTACAACATAAAATTCAGACACCAACAAGAAAAAGTGATAGATTTATCTACATAAAAATTAAAAATGGTGCGTCATATTTTAAATACTTTGAGCAGTTATGTCATTGCTAAAAATTTACGTTATAGAAATATTGTGGAAGTCTGCAATGAAGCATTATTTGTAAGAGCAAAACTCTGAGGACGAGTGATGTATGAAATGATGGTCCGTCACATGACAGAACCAAGAGGCCAGGTAAAAGGACAGGTTTAAAAGAAAGGCGTTCCCTTTGTGTAACACGTACTTTGTGGGGAAGCACGGGACTTGGTTGGAATGTCTGTAAGGAGGATTCTCTGAGAGGTCGGGGGCCTCTGAGGGGACCTTGCCAAAGGCAGCAGCCCCTACCTTGACTTCCAAACAAGTCTGATCCCCCGAGGTGTTTTGCTAGAATCTCTATGTGTAGTCTTTAAAGACCCAACCTTGTAGGAGCATATACTTTCTCAAGGATACTTACCCTGCTGGTTGTATCTAGAGGTTAATTTTAGTTCAAGCTGTTGTGACAATAAAAGCCTAAGAGGGCAGGTGAAGAGGACTGCTTTTTACTTCTAAAGTAAAACAGTCCCTTAGCCTTTCTTTCACAGAAACGTGTCAGAGCAATCCGTTCATCCATCGCTCAGGTCTGCTGCTCAGCCCCAGCAGTACTTCATATATGTTAACACGTTCCGTTTGTGCAGACATATCCTTATACGGTCATGGGCCACATAATGATGTTGCAGTCAACAACCACATATACAACAGTGCTCCCATGAGATTATACTGGAGCTGAAAAATTACCATCACCTAGGACAGTGGTCGGCAAACCACGCTCGGCAAACTGCGGCCCGTGAGCCACACGCGGCTCTTTGGCCCCTTGAGTGTGGCTCTTCCACAAAATACCGGCTCTTCCACAGAATACCGACTTCTGCGCATGGGCCACGAAGTTTCAATCGCACTGTATGTGCACGCCCCATGTGGTATTTTGTGGAAGAGCCACACTCAAGGGGCCAAAGAGCCGCGTGTGGCTCACGGGCCGCAGTTTGCCGAGCGTGGTTTGCCGACCACTGTCCTAGGTGATGGTAATTTTTCAGCTCCAGGATAATCTCATGAGAGCACTGTTGTATATGTGGTTCGTTGTTGACTGCAACATCATTATGTGGCCCATGACCGTATAAGGATATGTCTGCACAAACGGAACGTGTTAACATATATGAAGTACTGCTGGGGCTGAGCAGCAGACCTGAGCGATGGATGAACGGATTGCTCTGACACGTTTCTGTGAAAGAAAGGCTAAGGGACTGTTTTACTTTAGAAGTAAAAAGCAGTCCTTGATTGGCTACCTCTTGCCACCCCCTACTGGGGATCAAGCCTGCAACCCAGGCATGTGCCCTTGATTGGGAATCGAACCATGACCTCCTGGTTCATAGGCTGACGCTCAACCACTGAACCACACCGGCTGGGCTGCATTTATACTTTTTATTGTTATCTTAGAGTATATTTTTTCTTTTCTATTCATAAAAAATTTTACCCTGGCTGATGTGGCTCTGTTGGTTGAGAGTCATCCCATGCACTGAAAGGTCACTGGTTCCATTCCCAGTCAGGGCATATACCCAGGGTTTTGGGTTTGATCCCCAGTTGGGGTGGGTACAGGAGGCAACTGATTGATGTTTCTCTCTCGAATCGATGTTTCTCTTTCTCTCCCTTCCTCTCTTTCTAAAACCAATGAAAACATTTTTTAAAAAGTTTGCTGTAAAGCAGCATGTTGTGTTATGCCAGCAGCAGCCTCGTACATCTTGTGTTTAGCGTGTCTCTCGATTGCATCATTTTCTCTTCTGCTTGATTTAATCTCATGTTGTACAGGCTTGTAGCCTGGGAACGATAGGCTACACCATACAAGCCAGGTGTGCAGCAGGCTGTGTGTAAGGTACTCGATGGTATCCACACAAGGACAAAACTGCCTAATGCCACATTTCTCCGAACATATCCCTGCTGTCAAGCAGTGCATGGCAACAGTATTACCCAACCTCACACATGTATTACATGACTTTTTAAAAAGTCAATGGGTTACCTTGGTGGGAAGATTAACGTGCATTCCCTTTCTAACTCCTTGGCTTAGAACTTTTAAACTTCCTAACTTCCTCTACCTCTCCCCACCCAAAACAAAGATAATTTTGTAACTACATATTTATTTTTTCTTAGAATATTCATGAGTACTTTTGGTTTTTCAATTTAAACATACATGATTTCAAAGTGATATAAAACTGTGTTCTTTAGAAGTATCTAGAAAGACAGTACATACTGTGAAATCTTTCTAATTTTACAACTGAATTATTTTACACATAAAGGAAATTATAAATTTTAGTTGAAAGAAAAATCTCATGTATAGAAAAATTCTATATCATATATACACATTTACAGTTTTTAATTTTATAACCTTTTCATTTAAAATCATTCTTTTCCCAAAAACTATACTTCAGTATAAAACAGATAAGTATTTAAGAAGTCATTAGTATGTACATAGGTGGCTGCAAAAAATAACCCACAACTCATATTCTATTCCAAAGGTGAAAATATTTTCTTTTAAAAGCATTTTAATATTTCTTCTCATCATCAACAAAATATCAACATTTAAATTAAAAATGTCAAATCCAATTATATGTAACCATAAGCAGTCCTTTAAGAAATATATTTGAAAAGCCATTATTCCATAAAATATTTACATTGTTGAAACTGCATAAAAGCAACACCGTCTTGATCTAGTTTAGTTGAAAGAATGAATAAGAACCACCCCACCCCCAAATACTATTCATCCTTCATAATGGAGACTTTATCCTTGGATTTATTCAGCATCTTTATGTCATCCAACAGCTTTTTGGGTGTTAAAATATGGGTAGAACCTGGTAGGAAAAAAGATAAATTTTTTTCAGAGGCCAGAAGTTAAATCGATTTTCCTTGGCTAACTATATTGTCCTGTCCTTCAAATATGCAAAGTTAGTACAACTTGGAGCATTTTAACAGAAGTCCTATAGGACACCTTTCTGAAATCTGCCTATACCGCAGTATTTCAATCCTTCCTCATTGAACATGCTCAGTAAACCTTCAGAAATACTGCCCCCTCCTGGTACTTTGTCTACCTTGTACTATATATTGATATACTGGGGAGCAAAACTGGAGGTTACTCTACCTTCGTGACAAGAACAGTCACTGTTCAATCACAGAGAACCATTAAGCAGTGCTGAGGACTGAGGCCAGGGTCAGGAGAGTTTGTGTATCAGTGGCTTTGACTGAAATTCTTAAAACTAAATTCCATATACAGGCTTTGACAATGTCATGTCCACATTCACAAAATAATTCAAAATATTTTTGTAGAAGTGTCTCAAAAATTATTTAATTATGAGAGCAAGAAAAATATAGAATATAACATTTTAAAGGATATATGTAATAATATTTAAAGTATGTAGTATTTTGAAACTCATTCCTTCAAAATCAGGATATTTAAAAATAAAATTATCCATAGGACAACCAGGAAAAAACTCTAGTACATCAGATGAAACACACTATGATTAAAAGAAGCTGTCCAGCTTTCAACCATTTAGTTCTAAATGTAAAGTACAAGATAAAGTTTTACATATATATTTTTGCATTTAGAGTTTGTTTAGAGAAATGGAAAAGAGGCAAACAAGTCTTACCAATAATAACTCCACAGGATTTGTGTGCCTGAGAAACTTCATAAGCACAACGCATTTCAGAGTACGTAATTCCTCCGATAACAAAAACAATCAGCGTGGACCCGTTTTTTCGGTCTTCCAAATAATTACCTCTGGGTTTCTGGCGAGCACTAAAAAATAAAAAACACTAACGTGTTACAAATACTCCCAAAGCCTTACTGCTTATAAACTTTTCAAAAAGCCTCATTCAAGCAAATTCAGACTTGGCACCGGTGACATAATTTTAAGGAAATGACTTACCAGGTAACTATGTATGAAAGAACTCGGCACCAAGAATTAGGCAGGACAAGTCCCACTTCAAGTTTAATTTTGATCTGATAGTTCGAATAAATCACTCATAATCCAGCTCAGCATGTTTACCTATAAAATAGAGCTAACTCCCTCTCTTATTTATTTCACTTGAAGAAGTAATATACCTGAAGTCTCTGGCTTCTTGAAGTTAAAGAAATAGGGAAGTAGCGGTGAAATAATAAGCATTTAAAGATATGTTGGGGGTGGGGAGGTTCGCAGGAGCTGATGTGGTATTGGGACATCCCTTGCGGGAAGTCAGTAGAGTATGATGGTGGGAGGTACTGAAGACATCTTCTCTCTCATGTTCACAGCAGCATGATTCACAATAGCCAAGATACGAAACAACCTAGAAACAACCTAAATGTCGACCAGCAAGTGGGTAAAAACAATGTGGTGTGTATGTATACAATGGGATATTACTCAGCCTTAAAAAATGAATTCTGCCATTTGCAACTATATAAATGGACCTAGAGGACATTAGGTTAAGTGAAATAAGCCGGACTCAGAAAGACAAATACTGTATAATCTCACTTATATGTGGAATCTAAAACATACACATGCAGAGAACAAAACGTTAGTTGCCAGGGGCTGAGGGGAGGGGGACATGAGGCAATGTTGGTCAAAGGGCACAAAGTTTCAGTTGTGCAAAATGACTATGTTCTAGAGATCCAACGTACAGCAGTGTAACCAGAGTAAACAAAGCTGCATTGTATACTTGAAATTCGCTAAGAGGGTAGATCTTAAGTTAAATCTTACCACACACACAAAAAATACATAAAAGAAGAAACAGTAGTTATGTAAAGTGATGGGTACATCTGTAGTGATCTTTTTACAATGTATACATATCAAAACTTCAAATTGTTTTTATATGTATCAAAGCATATACAAAGTTATTAAGTCAATTATATATACTTCAATAAAGCTGTTTAAAAAAAAAAAAAGAATTAGACCTGAGTTTCAACTCTGATTCTGCTTCTTTCTAATTCAGGTATGACTTTCAGCAAGTTACTTAACTGCTCTCTAAACTGTAAGGGTTGTTTTCAGATTAAATGAAGTAACGTATAGAACACTCGAAGTATGGAATCTGGTACCACAAAAACACTCAATAAATAGTAGCCATTATTTCTACCATTTTCTCCCCCAGATTGCTTTAGATATGCACTGTCCAATACAGTAGCCACTTTGCCACATGAAGCTACTTAAATTTATTAAAACTAAATAAAATAGAAATTTCAGTTCCTCGGTCACACTGGTCACATACAATGCTCAGCAGCTCCAGTGGCTAGTGGCTATCAAGCTGGACAGTGTGGCTATAGGACATTTCCCTCTCGGCAGAAGGTGCCACTGGAGAGCACTGTCTAGACCATGGGGATCACCTGTTTTTGTTTTTGTACCCCACTGGTAAAAATTTTGAGCTTTTATTTGAAAAGTAAATAAATATGTCAAAATAAATATTTTATGCATCTATTAAAATATACTATATTAGTTTATAAATTATATGTGTGCTAGTGTACATTAATAAAACTTAATTTCTCCCTTTTTAAGGTATAAGTAAGTACCCAACAATCATCTTGTTACCACTCTGGAATCCATGCTCTAGCTGACCTCTAAGACCCTGCAATGTCGGAGCCCACGGTACACTTTTTAAAATGTTCTCAGTCTGTCCAGCCTTGGGATGATGGTTCCCATCTGCCACCTTAAGGAACAACGAGGTAGTGACAGGAAAAGAGAAAGAGAATTCGTGGCTAGTTTTGAAAGATGAAACAGAAACAAGATACACTATTGGTTCCCACACAAAATATTTATAGGTTTTACCTTACAGCTCCTGAGCCATTCCACACTGCTGGGCACTGGGAACAATATGGCCATTCCTTTGAATCTAATCTATTATCAATGGCATCCTAGGGAAGAGAAGAATTAACACCATCAAGAAAATGTAAATTCCAAGATATTTTTATTTACTTGTCTGTTTTGCATAAAACTCAAAATTTGTATTTATAATTAAGGATCATAAGGATATATAGATATTTAATAATAAGGTTAGCCCTTTCTTTGGACCTCGCAAACCTTACTTGCTTCAAAAATTAACACAATCATTTACTTACTTACTAAACCAGTATTTACTGCATGCCTACATTTCTTCACTGGGAGGGCCCCACGTTGGGGTGAGAATTCCAGGCATCTCTCAGGACCATTCTGTCTAGAGTGCTAGGGTTTCTAATACTATCCTAGTCCGGACACCTCGTAAGCTACCAGGGAGTGCAGGCCTTGCCCCCGCAGCAGTGGCTCTACCGCAGGATGTACACCCCCAGCCCAGGCTACACAACACAACCCAAAGGAAGGAGGGAAATTTTCATTTTTTTAAGGGTTATATTTTATGATAAACTTATGTATATGGATATACTGTATATATATAGTTTATTTGTACAGTAATATGTAGTTTATAAATGAACAGTCATGCTATAAGCTTATGCTCACATTTTTTATGGTTAAGTGTGCACGATCAAAAAAAGTTGGGGGCCACTGCTTTACAGCATGTGGTATTAATGAGTGGACACAATCAGTAGTCGAAGAATATCTCAAAAAGACTGCAGGAAGCGAAGAAACCAAGTTTCAGGAAAACCCTGAAGGTCTGCCACTTAGCCAAAAGTGGATTTTCTAAGTTTGACATGCAAATCTTTGTTAAAGGGTTTAAGAAAGTCAATTCTTACTTTGAAAATACAAGCCAAAAAAACCTAGTTAGTTCTATATCCCTGTTATAAGGGGGGAAAATCTTATGCTTCAGAAAATAAAGTCTAAATTTTTAAAACTTTTCAATTATGATTAAGCATGTGTGAGTGGCATAAAACTAGTCAAAGAAAACAGAAAAATCATAGTAATAAATTGTATCCAATTAGATACTAAAGGAAAGTAGAAATTGCAGTTTAAGTCAAAGAAAAATTGAAATAAATGAACTATGTACTAGCAATTTTGACTGAAGGATAATGTCATGATTTGAATGAGTTCATAAAACAATTTTTATTAGTTTATTTTCTAATTTCCTATAATTGAATATCTTCTAAGTGAACAATACTAAAAGGCACAAACCATCTGTTGAATATAACAGCAAACCATAGTGAAGTTTACATTTTAATCACAAATACATTTCCAAGAATACTGGAGTCTAACACTTTCTAGCAGTGGTTATATACAAGTGTTATTTTGTTTTGGACTTTCGTTCAAATAAATTATTTGTATATCTGCTACATATAGTTATTTAAAACAACAGCAGTTTTTCCCAAAAGCATGTGTGTGCTGATTTTATTTATTTATTTGGAGGCAACCAGTGGTGTTTGTTTGAGGTCTTCAAGGAAAGAATCTTCAAGAGTTTCCTTTCCCGCCTTGACCCCAGATACAGGCTTCTTCGGTGAACCTCCCAGTACTGCAGACAATTCCTAACCTATAAACTACAGACAGTTAAGAATGCTCTACAGGAGGCCATTCAAGGTATAAGTAAAATTTAGTGAATTTTACCTCCAAAATATCTTTGATATAAGGTGTCCATCGAGAGAGTTGGAAAGTTTCTTCTGCAGACCGATCCTTTCTTGATGGTTTGCCTTGTGGAGACTAATATAATTAGATGGGGGAGAGGGGGATTAAAAATCAACAATTTATTTAGTGTATTCTTTAATTAAGTTTTCTAACAAAGATATTTAATTTACAGCAAATACTATGTTGCACTACTTAAAAGTAAAATTGGAAATGCCTGTTCGAATAATCTGAATAGTTGTGGACATATAACTTAACAGTATTTTTTGCTTTAAGGATAAAATTTATAATAGGACCAGAAAATACGTTTATTCGAAAGGGCTATAGAATTTAATGGGAAAAGAATAAGATTCCAAATAGAGTTTTTTCAAAATTTGTTTTAAATTAAATATAAAGAGAAAAGCATAAATAGCAAATTACAAGAGAAACCCTAAGATATAAATTCACCAGGAAGGTGTAATTGTCTAAATTACTCATATATGGAAAACAAAATGTTAATGTTTTACTTACCAAATCTTTGGAGTAAAATTTAGAAAACTATCCACATGGATACCCATATAAGAAAACATTTAATGCAAACAACTGCACATGCATACATGTAAGTACTTATAGAATGTAAGATTTCTTACCGGGGGGACAATGGGGACACCAAGGTAACTCCAGTTACGAATCATATCACTCTCATTTTCTATCTTTACATTCTGGATCAACCTATCCAAATTTTCTTCCGTTGTTCCTTAGATAAGTAAAAATATGAGTCATATAATTGCTACCACAATCATTTCTAGGTTTTAGGTGGTATCTAATAATAATGTTTAAATAAAAAGCAAACATTTAAATTATATATCCTTCAGTCTTCTCCCAATTTCATATTTTTCCCTTTCCTTATCTTAACCAACTTCAGCTACCACCTTTAATTTTCTTAGTAAACCACTTATTATAATGTGATTTCAGAGCTGGATACTCTAATATATTTATAAAAATGAACAAAGTCTCCATTACCATTATTACTGAAGATATAGAGCAGGATTGCTCGTATTTTATCATAATTGTCGTGGTTTTTGTTGAGCAGAACTGGCAAGAGCACTCGCATGGAATCCTTCACCTTCTGTCCTTCTGCATCAGTTCCCAGTGCCAGGTCCTTATTGAAAATGACACAGTCAGTGGTCCATAACCCAAGTTCATTTCAGTTAAAAATGTTGCTAAATTTTTTAAAAAGATGTTTTTATTAATTTCAGGGAGAGAAGAAAGAGGGAGAAACAGAAATATCGATGAGAGAGAACATCCATCGGCTGCCTCCTGCAGGACCCCCACTGGGGACTGGGCCCGCAATCCCGGCATGTGCCCTGACCAGGAATCAAACCAGCTCCTCTTGGTACATGGGTTGATGCTTCACCACTGAGCACACCAGCTTGGCAAAATCTTGTTAAATTTTAATGGTATACTAATGACATTTCACAGGAAAATGTGGGCATCACTTGCAAACTTCTGATTGCAGGAAGTGCAAAAAGTCAAAAAATAATTCAGAGAAAAAGAAAACCATCACCATAAACCTCTGCGATGACCAGGGTGGCCATGACCACATGCGGCTCCTGTGCACCTGAAGTGTGCCTCGTGGGAATTAAGATGTGCACTGCAGAGGAGCCTCCTTAACAGATTCAATGTGCCTGTGCAGTGCTCTGCAGGATGCTACGTTCAATGCTGCACCCTGAGAAAGGCCTGCCAACAATGCTACCTGGAACAATGCTCCAAACACTCAAATCATCAAAATGCATCATCACAGACTAGGAGGGACTTGCTTACTATTGATATTATATATAGCTACTTGTTAATTGGTGGGGCATGACGTATTCAATATGACCTAGGTGAGTCCCCTTCTAAGAGAGATTCTGTGATCCTGGACACACTGTATTGAGCAAAGTTAGGTTTTATCTTAGAAAGATCACTCAGGAAATCTATTACGAACATAGGTATTTCTGACTGTACATACCTGTTCAGTTTTGCAGAGCTTTTCTATATTAGACTTGAATTTATTCATGCAATCTTCTGCTATGTTAAGATGAACAACTTGCTGAAAAACAACAAAAAAATCAATAATTTAAAGCAGTGATTTTCAACTGGTGTGCCGCAGAATGTTTCAAACATGCAATACCTGATTATTTAATCAGGAGCACTGACCTCTGTTCCCTTAGAACCTCTTTTCTAGATTGTCAAATAAAAAAAGTGACAACAGCCTACACAACAATAGCCGTCTGGTGTGAATGAATCAAAATTATACCTTTTTTTTCCCAGATGAAAAAGGTTGAAAATCACTGATTTAAAGCATTTCACTTTTTTTTGGTGTGCAATGTTAAACTTTGAGATTGGCCTGAAGGGAAGTATGGATTTGGATGGAAAGGAAGTACCATGTACACCAAAGGGAAACAACTCAAAAAAAGGGGGGAAAAGTGAGAATTAACATGATCTACAGGGGACAATCAATGGACAGCAAGAAATAAAATGAAAGGCCCGGCCGGTGTGGCTCAGTGGTTGAGCATCGACTCATGAACCAGGAGGTCACAGTTCAATTCCTAGTCAGGGCACATGCCAGGGTTGTGGGCTTGAGCCCCAGTAGGGGGTGTGCAGGAGGAAGCTATGGATGATTATCATCATTGATGTTTCTATCACTCTCTCCCTCTCCCTTACTTTTTGAAATCAATAAAAACATATTTGAAAAAAATTAAATAAAATGAAAGGATTGAATTTGTGTTGGGTTTCTGAATAACAAAAAATAAGGTGGGAGGAAAAAAGTCCAGTCCTTAAAGTCCAGCAGAAAAAGTCTGAATTTACATTATTAGTTCTTAATTAGGGTGCAATACGATAAAAATTTTGTAAAAATTATTCCTATAATAACTCATAAGAATAACTGGAACAGCAGTTTATCTGCCCACATAGTTTAACTACTCTTAAATCTATTAATTTAAAGAACCAAGTAGAATAACAATCACGGTTGAACCAATGTTGAATTTTCTTATTAAGTTGGTAAATGCTAAACATTCTCTGTATGGCTATCCAAGACAAAGATATAAAGAAGTTTAAGCTGGATATGGATAAATCTAGATTATACAGAGAGAGAATACTATTGGAAAGCTTAGTTACTTGGGGTATTTCTCAGAACTAGAATAAGGTTTTACAGGAAAACTAACACCAAGTATTCCATGACACCCACTGCTACACCTGACTACAGAACTAGGTGGATTAATAAATAAGGTATCTCACATACAGTACTCTCACCTTAGTAATCTGTTTTCGGAAATGCGGCATCTTTTTCATTAGTTGGGCAAGAGCACTAAGTGATGTCTAGGAAAAAAATCACACATTTTAAAATTAAACTTATGATGCAGTTATTCTATATAACAACTTCATCATTTTGAAAGTTAAATAAGACTCATTTCAAACATTTTAAAATTAAACTTATGATTCAGTTATTCTAAATAACAAACAACTTCATCATTTTGAAAGTTAAATAAGACTCATTCTTACCTTTCCTTCTGTTGCTTTCTTTGTTGATGAAATTTCCTTCATAAGCTTGGGAATTTCCCTGTCAAATTGAGAGAATTCTTTAAATTTCTAAGGTGTAATTCTTTACAGAGACATTTTAAGATTACAAACTGTACTTTCATGTATTTAATCTCCAAAAAATATGAAATAAAAATTAAAATAGATTCACATACTCTAATACAACTGCAATATGCCGGTGTCGAATTCTGACCTCTCTCATCATTGATGTTTATTTCTCTCTCTCTCCCTCTCCTCTCCTCTCTCTGAAATCAATGAAAACACATTTTTAAAAAGCCAAGAAGTTAATCCTACTAAGACATTTTTACTGTCAAATGTTAGAGTTAGCCGTCATTATAGAGTTTTAGGTTAGCAAAATAGTATTCTATAAAACAAAAATTCAACATTCTACAATCAACTTTAAGAACAAGACTGTGGCCCTTGCTGGTTTGACTCAGTGGCTAGAGCGTTGGCCTGCAGACTGAAGGGTCCTGGGTTCGATTCTGGTCAAGGGCACATGCCCAGATTGTAGGCTCAATCCCCAGTTGGGAGTGTGCAGGAAGCAGCCAATCAATGATTCTCTCTCATCATTGATGTTTCTATCTCTCTCTCCCTCTCCTTTTCTCTCTGAAATCAATAAATATACATTAAAAAAAGGAGGAGGAGGAGGAGGAGGAGACGACGACTATGTGCCCTGGTTGGCTCAGTGTGGCTCAGTTGGTTGGGCTTCATCCCATGCCAGTTTGATTCTCTGGTCAGGGCACATGCCCAGGTTGTGGACTCGAATTCCTGGTGGGGTGTGTGTGGGAGGCAGCCCATTGTTATTTCCCTTTCTCATCAATATTTCTCTCTCTCCCTCCATTCCTCTCTCTCAAAATCAATAAAAATACTTAAAAAAAGAACAAGACTGAGTATACTAATAATTTTTATTCTAATTGCTTAAACACACTTTTGATGTTCTGATAACCATTAGCACAACTATCAACCATCCACTAAGTGAAGAACAGAAATGTTTGAAGTTGTTTCAGAGTTGGTACAAAATTCACAAACATATATCATTTGTTTGTATACTCTTCTTCCCTAACCCTATAAAATCATCTCCTTTTAAGAATGGGAAAGGACCTGAAACCTACATAATTTTATTAACCATGTCACCACAATAAATTCAACTTAAAAAAAAGAATGGGTAAGGAAATGAGAAAAACAAATGTAGTCATAAAAAATTGTGATTGCTTTAATGAGTTCTACTAAAGTCAAGAGTAAGAAGTCAAGGGGTTCATGAAATTACTTAAAATAGGCTTCCTGACTGCTTCCCCAAACTTTCTCCCTTCTTTTTATACAGATAGCCTCCTTCCATATGGGGAGCTGAGGAGATTCAATCATCCTGGGGACTGGGATTATCCTGAGCCAAGATTAGAAAGAACAGCACTGAGCTCTCCCAGCTCTGGACTGTGGACAATAAATGCTGACTTCTGCTGTATAAATACAATTATTTCCATAGCCCCAAAATATTACAGGTCCTGCCTATAAAGCCATCTACCTATGTGGTCTTAATTACAGATGCCCACAGATTGAGTGTGCTTAATTATAAAGCTGCACCTAAGGATAACAGCCCTTTCGTCACTGAAATGCCACTTGTAGTTACCGAGTATCTTCAACCTTTGATTTATAAACAAAAATTAAGGTACTTAGCATTTCCTGCTTTGTATTCTATTTCCATTAAAAATTCTGACACAGCACAAACCACAGGGAATTCATGCCTCCATCTAGTCTTACTCTTGGACTTCTTTTTTTTTTAATTTATTGATTTTTTACAGAGAGGAAGGGAGAGGGATAGAGAGTTAGAAACATCAATGAGAGAGAAACATCGATAAGCTGCCTCCTGCACACTCCCTACTGGGGATGTGCCTACAACCAAGGTACATGCCCTTGACCGGAATCAAACCTGGGACCTTTCAGTCCACAGGCCAACGCTCTGTCCACTGAGCCAAACCGGTTAGGGCTCTTGGACTTCTTTCATTCATAAAAAGTATTGATTTTTTTTTAAAATAAATCTCTCTCTTACTCTTAAAAAAATTAAACCTTGCTTTGCTTGCTAGCAAACCTAGGAAGATAAGTATTTTAAATACTTGGTTAAAACTAATATAATTTATGAAAAGTACCCATTACTTGAGCTCTTTGTGCTACACACTGCATAATGTCTGAAGTGTATGTCTAAAGTCTGAAATCAAATTCTTTAGTCTTCATCAGTTTAATTCTTTTGTAAATTTCTTAAGTAATACAGGGTTAGAGACCTAAAGGATGAGAGGTAATAATAATCTCTTTTGAAAATTCTGAATAAACTGCTTGAAGCTACTTTTAAATTAGAAAAAATAGCTATGTTGATCTCATAAAACAAATAGACAAAGCCTGAGTTTGACCAATATGCAAATAAAAATATAAGAGGGGGAAAAAAAAGAAAAAAATATATAAGAAAGAAAAATACAAAATTAATTTAATAATATTTGGTTTAAGAAAAAATACTAAGTATAATTATCATAAGTGTTTGGATATTTTTAATCTATTAAAATTACTAAATTAAACCTAAAATTTCAGAAAACTAATTTTCACTTTTTTCTATTATACTCAAGCGAATACACCAAAAAAGCTTCAAAGTCATCAAATTACCCATTAACTTACAAGGTTAAGACATTTTAAATATATTCTGATTATAGGAGAAGAGAAGGATAAAGGCCCTGAATAAAAAAGGTTACAGAGACTTTAGATTTCTAGTGCCTACAAGAACCATTAATTGCTCATATCTTATCCTGTTTACTCATAAAACAAATAGACAAAGCCTGAGTTTGACCAATATGCAAATAAAAATATAAGAGGGGGAAAAAAAAGAAAAAAATATATAAGAAAGAAAAATACAAAATTAATTTAATAATATATGCCCTATAGATGCCCTTGGAGTTATACTTGCTTGTATGTATCATTCTCAATCGGCAGTAGATCATATGCCATTGCCTGAAACGTCAGTTCATGCAGGACAGTGGACACAGGATCAAAGCCACGGTCAATTATTATGAGCTGGGAATGAGTTTTACCCTGAAATAACAAGATAAAATTATCTTAAGAAACTTCCATTTCTTTGTGTGAACACATTTTTATACTATCTTAGAAAACAAAGGCAGACTTTTCTTAATTTCTGTCATTATATATTAAAAAGGAAAAAGCTGAGTGGCACAGTAGGAGGTAGGGGAGGAACCAAACTACAAAACCAAAAGTTTTCATAATTAGATTGAGGATATGCTCAATATTGTGAACATTCCTTTTAAAAAATAACATTTGGCTTGCATTAAGTCTATTTTCTTAGGAATTCAGCTCCATAAGTACTAAAACTAACAAATTATGAAAAGTAGCCATTACTTGAGCTCTTTGCTAAATAGGAAGTACGTATATTAGTTAATTCTTATATAGCAACCCTAAAGGACAAGTATTCTCATCTCCATTTGACAATGAGGGCAGAAAGGCTTAAATAACTTGCCCAAATCACATAGCTAGTAAGTGGCAGAATGGAGATTCAAACCCAGGTCAGATTCACTCCACAGCCTGTGCTCTTAACCATCATGCTATTTAAAAAGATAATACTGATACCAGCTAAGATGCTAAATCTTAATGAAAGCCTTATTTTCATTCATTCACAAGCAGCATTAATCATTAAACAGTGAATAGTGCTGGGAAAAATAATTGTTAATATCAATATCTTTCACACGTTATTTTAAGAAGTTATAAATTATTTGGATTATTCAAAGCAGTAAGATACCTACAACTCATTAGACAAACATTTCCTATTTATTTACATACAGCAGAGGTAAATTACATAGGCTAGATCTTTGAAAAGTGTTTAATTAATTATTCACTCATTTAAATAAACTTTATGGTATACTGGTTAAGAGCACATCCTCTGGGAATCAGATAGATCTGGGTTTGAGTCCAGCCTTGAGCACTTTCTTGCTGTATGACTGGGTAAATTGCTTAACTTGTTAATAATATCTCAGTATTCTCACTGTAAAATATAATAAGAACCTTGCTTATAAGATCACTATAAAGATTAAATGTAATTATACCATGAAACACTTAGAACACCCTGGCACTGCATGAGCCCTCAATACACGTACGTTCGGAGTCTTCAGAAACATGAACAGGAAAAACAACTGCTATATCAGGGCTCAGGGTTATGGCAGGATGTGGGAAGAAGCCTCACTTGACCTGGAGTCAGGAAAGGCTTCAAAAAGGAGCTGACACTTTATCAAGTCCTTGAATAAGGAAAGAAAGGTATCAAGCATTTGAAAGAAAGTGTAGTTTTCAGGAAGGAAGAATGGAAAAGATGAGTTTTATTTATGTATTTTTGTGGATTTTGCCTTTTTTTCACTGAAATCATGAAGGAACAAAGGATATTTACTAATATATTGATTGTATATCTCTTCCCTCATTCAATAAACATTTACTGACTACCTACTATGCTAATGTGTACTGGGCCATTGTCTTCATAACTACAACCAACAACAGCTTTCGCTAGACCTCCAAAGCAAAAACTAGTAACTTTTAAATTTCTAAACTAACGATATGTCTAAGCTATAAACCCTCCATTCTAGCCAAGGTGTTAGATTGTGGATTTTGCCTTTTTCTCTAGGCCTCTGCCCAAAATAGCCTGTTATCCAAGCAATACAATTCCTCTTCTATCACTTACACTCATTCTTGAAGCGCAAGGGCCTCTTCCTCCAGGATGCCTTCCAGAACTCCAGTAGAATCAGAGTGAGCCCCAGCCTATGTTCCCATTACATTCTCTGTATCCTTCTCATTCCACTTATCACACAGCATTGTAATTGATGGTTTCCTTAACCATCTCCTCTTCTCAACAATCTAGTTTCTTCCTTTGCTACTATAATATGGCTGCCCTGCCCTCTGGCACCACCTGTCAGGATTTTCATTTTGTATTCCCTGGGTTTGGACCTTACTCTTTGATTACTTTATACTATCTTCATAAGATAGTAACAGTTGCCAATCATTAAACTACCATATGTGCCAAACACATGTTAACTCACCTAATCTTCATACCAACCAAGCAAGGCATATGTTATATTATCCATTTCACAGATAAAAATACAACTCAGAATAAATAATCTTGTCCAAGGTCACAGAGCTAGTAATAACAGGAGTAACTGTATTTATTGACTGTTTATTCTAAGAACTTTATATATATTAACTCATTTAACCCTCTCACTGCTTTATAAAATAGGTATTATCTCATCATTCCCAATTTGTAGATAAGAAAACTTAGGCATAGAAAAGTTACATAATTTTCCCAAATTGACATATCTATTAATTAAATGGCAGACCAGGATTTGGACACAGTAACTGCAAAACCCATATCTTTCCCCCTAAACCCCACTGTGTACTACAGTTTCCACTACCATCTATATTAATGATTCTCAAATCAATATTGGGGATCTATGTTAATGATTCCCAAATCAATATTGAAAAATAAACAATAGCTTCATTGGTTTATAAAGAAATAAGTCAGACTTTACGCATAATCACTATCTGCCTTATATACATTACCTTTATTAGGCTCTTTTCGTCAGTCTTGTAGTAGTTTTCAAGTTTTTTTTCAACAAGTTGGGCAAGTTTACTGGCATTATTTAGAGGTTTACTAGAAATGGAAAAAATGTTCACTTATCTTTCTTTCAAGACACTTTACAATATCATAAAGTTGAATTTTAAAATTAAACCATGCAATTTATTAATTTAATAAATTTTATAAAATGGAAAACTTCAGATAATAATATATCAAATATGTTATACTAATTTTGTCTGGATTTTATAAATGTAAACCTTATTGTATGTGCTTTAGATTTTTTTTTGGCACATACATCAAATTTATTCATTTTAGTTCTCTCTATATATATGTCTATCAAATAATTATACTGGATGCTATATATTCATTCCCATTCCTCTAAAGATGGGTATTTAAATCATTCTCAATTCTATCCTATCCTATTGCAAACAACACTGAAATAAACATCTTTGTACATGTATCACCATGAACATGTTTCTCGAGATACATTACATCTAAAAGTATAATTGCTGGGCCCTAGCTGGTGTGGCTCAGTTGGTTAGAATGTTGTCACAGATTCGATTCCCAGTCAGGGCACATATGGGAGGAAAGTGACAGATGTTTCTCTCTCACATCAATGTTTCTCTCTCCTTCTCCCTCCCTTCCTCTGAATCATATCCTTGGGTGAGAATTAAAAAAAATAATAATAATAAATAATATATAAAATAATGTCAGACTGTAGCTCCTATATGACAACAAAGACATTTCCTCTAAGCATTCCTTAAACTCATGAAAAAAAAATGCTTGTAAATCATACCAAATTTAAGCACTGAAATTCGGTAACAGAGGCTCTTAGTTACTCTGAAATTTAAACCTCACACTTTCAATCTGTAATTACAGCACAATCTTACAAGGAAAATTCTGCTGACTAATCCACCTAACACAGACATTACTTACCTCTATACTGGAGAGCAAATAGAAAACATAACATGAACAGACACTATTAAGTGCCTTACCTTTTATACCTTACTCCGGGATTTTCATCAAGGCTAGCACATACGGTAACTATCTGCTCAGCCATAGCTTCCATTACAGCATCTTTTCCATTTGCATTACTGGGATCCGGACTGTAACAGTAATAGAATGCATCTGGTACATCAAGAGTGTATACCTAAGTGAGGCCAAAAAAAGTTACACTGTCAATGTGGAAACTTGATTTATAAAAATATATCAAGAAAAATGCGGCTATTATTTGGGCCATTAAAAAAAATACTTGCACTAACCATGTTGTTTTCTGAAACAACTGTGTCTTTACCTTAATCAAATCTCATTTTCTCTGTCATTTGGATTTCACCCTTTCTTTTCTCACTCTCCTTTCCTGCTTAGTCTACCTCTAACCTTCAGTTCTTGTTTCATAAACAGATAGCACTGTTTGCTTTTCACTACCTGTGCAACAGCTGAAGTAATCTGAGGTAGTCAAACTAAAATAAAAATCTAATAACTGGGCCAGCCGATGTGGCTCAGTGGTTTAGTGTCAACCCATGCAGAAAGAGGTCACCGAGTTCGATTCCCGGTAAGGGGCGTGTAGGAGGCAGCCTATCAATGATGCATTGACGTTTTTATCTCTCTCTCCCCTCTTCTCTCTCTAAAGTTAATTTTGAAAAAGATCTAATACCTAGCACAAAGAAATACAACAAAGCCAAAATTGGTCTATAAATTTGCATACACTAAAAATCTTCTAGAGAATAACCTAGAAATTTTCCATAGTTGATATATATCTTTAGCCTATATTCTTCATGTCCTTAAAATAGAGATATACTTCCTAATAAGACACAACAATGTGCCATTGGTCTTATCATATATACTCTGACCTTACAGACATATTTATTCAACTAACAAAAGCATTTACTTATGTGCAAAGAATAGGATTAGAGATTTACTATTATTGTGTTATTTGAAGAATATGAAAGAAGAAGCTCTCTAACTAGGGTTGAGAGCTCCTCACTAAACTAATTTTTATTTTTTTAAAAACAACTGTGATCCCTCCTGGCCTAAGATAATGAATTGAGTGTAAAAGTAGGTATGTAAAACCATTGTAGGTTAACTGATGAATTATGAATCAACTTCCTTGCATTTCCCTTCACACACAGTCATTCATTCCTCTGCACCTAAGCCATCACAACCAGCAGCTGCCTGAACATGGACTGAGATTCAGCTGTAGCTGAACCTTGTGTCTGTGCTGCTCAGCCATCTAATAAAGGTTGTATTCAAAATCGTTTGATCTCATAATCTGTGCTATAAAACTTGACATACACAGGACCTAGTGGCAGATGTGAAATTTAAGCTCCACTTTCATTATTAATGTTATATTCTAATAAAGCACGCATATTCTTCCCTTCATTATGGGAAATGTTTATTTGTGGACTATTCAAAATTCACCAAATACCTAATAAGTAAAACATTACAAATATATAAGGTATAAAGTAAAATATACCTTATTAACAAATAAGCTCATAAAACAAAATTTTAAAATCTATTATGAACTAAAATTTTAAAAAAAACAACAGAAAGTACCTGAGATTCAAGTGGAATGAAGGAAATATTTATTTCTTTACATCTTCTTATTGACTTGGAGCAAGAAGACTTAATTTTGTTAAAGAGACTATCAGGGCAAACTGAGAGGAAAAAAAGAAAAAAAAATCAAAGCATATAACTCCATCTAAATTTTTTCTCTTTTGGATAAATCATTCTAACACCTAGGAACATTTATTTTACATATAAATTACTGACTTTTATAATGTAATTTATCATGAGAACAGAAATAATACATAAATATTGTTCTTCACTTTACAGAGCAGATGTACTCTAGTCAAGAGGGACTTTCCAGAAATTCTGTTTTCACCATTCATATCCACCATAACCTAAAACATATTTCCTTAGATAGCTGCTAACACCGCAAACTAAAACTGTCAGGAAGGAAAATAAAATCTTAACTCATGACTTAACAAAATTTTCTAGGATTTTCAGAACTTCTTAAGAGTTTGCACTACTTTTCTAAGTTGGCCACTAGGTGTAACCATACCACACAAACTGTTAATTCTTCTTTAATTAAAAGAACTTCTCTGATGTCAGGAAATTCTAAACTAGTAAGTTCTGGACCTTAGAGCCCATTTTTTTTCTTCCCCTTTTTAACCTACCTGTTTACAGTTCCATTAAATCTAGGTTAGAATATCAGCCATTGGCTCCTAACATGGAGTGGCTTTTAAATGGAGTTGTTTAGCCTCAAGATTCCTTAAGTTAAAAGAGGCTTCACATTCATTAAAATTTATCCAATTTCATAGACATAAATTTCTGTATAAGGCTACCTAAGTGACAAATACTTATGGGATAACATTTTTTTAAAAATGCAAACTACCAGTAGGCATGACATAAATAATAATTAACAGGAATAATAATATACTACTTAAAATAATAGCAGAGACCAAGACCTAACTTAGATCAATGACATTTATATTTTGCAATGTAATTATGTAATATAATAACATAAAGCAGAATAAGATGTGTCTCTGGACTTCTCTGTATTCTTTCGTTTAGGTGCTTTCTATATGAACATATGACATAGTAAGAGAAATGTGATTGATTTTCTCCCTTACTACTTGCCAAACAGGGGCAATTTCTCTAGTGCCCTCCCAAAGGGTCTTATTTCTTATTATATAATCAAATCCCCAATTGAAACTTCAATTTAAAAAAGAATTCTTCTTGTCAGCACGTAATTTGCAGGATGGCCTCTCCACCAGCCCTCCACCTCTGTATACCAGCAAAAATGATTCTTCTGAAACTAGTTTGGGATGATTTCTTTAATTTTCTATCGCTTTATCATGAATTAGGATATATATGATTATATATTTTTTTATTTTTTGTAACCTAATTAGAATAAGTAGAAAGTCACTAGCATTGGCATGTATAAGGATTTTAAATAATGAAGCAATGACTTTTACAAAGCTACTTACAGTCAGTGAAGTATATGTATGCCGCTTTATATTTACTCTCCGACTTACTTGGAAAGTCACGTAAAAAACAGTCTACAGACTTAAAAAAAAAGTTAGATGTCAATATGTATTTTATTAAATACTAATTTAAGTATACTAGCTTTTGAGATAACAGATTATTTCATTTCGATGATAAAATAAAACCTTAACTGTATAGAAGTTTAATTTATAAACTTATTTTGTAAGATGCTATGTTGTTTAGCCAGTGGCAGCTAGAAACCTACTAAGATCAAGGTGATATGTATGAACAGAGGCTATTTGGCGAGGAGAAGATCTAGGAATGATCGATCACGTGGCTGGGAAGCTGCAGCAACACAAAAGACAAGACCACTGAAAACAATAGATGAAGGAACTGAAAGTCAGCGAACATACTCGAAGTATTACCCACACAGATACTGAAACCTCTGAGACCACCACTGGAGAAGTGTTGAAGAGAGTGACAGTGAGCTAGCAGCTGAAACTGACAAGAGATTAGAATGAAAACCCAGAAGGGGGTAGATGACTGCAAGAAGGAGGAAAAGGAAGTAATACAGTGTGGTGGAATCTGACTTAACACTGCTAGCTTTAAAGATACAGTGGTCTGAAAGTAAAAAATAACAGAGATTTAATATTCTCTCCTTCCTCTATCCCTTTTTCTCCTTCCGGAACTCCTAGATCCATACTTCTCATAGATCTCATGGATCTATCCTCCAAGTCTCTTTCCCCCATTATTTCTAGGACTTCGTTTTATTTTTGCTTTGAGATAGTCCATTTCTCATCTTCTAGGCCAGTGGTCGGCAAACTGCGGCTCGCGAGCCACATGCGGCTCTTTGGCCCCTTGAGTGTGGCTCTTCCACAAAATACC